GTAGTAGTAATAGTATATGTTTGCGGTCGTAATGATGACAGTAGCGCACACAAAACAGTATTTGATCCGTGCTCTGGCACGGTTAGCGCTCACACTGCATGCGTACCGCGCCCGAGCCCAACCGAACCGTGCCCTGGCCCACCTCTTCCAACCGGGCCAGGGACGGCTAAACGAACCGCGCCCGAGCACGGCACGGAGTGCTCACACTAGTCAAACGAAACGGGCTTTGGGGGTCAAACGCGCTCGGGCACGGTTCAAAACGCCTAGTGTGAGTACACCCTAAGAAATACAGCTGATGCACATATAACATGAATAACCCCCATATAGCATACATGATCACCCCATAGCAGATCTTATACAGGTGGAGCTGGGGAAGGAGAGGGTTTCTGAAGCGCGCTGCAACTGCTACAACAAACACTAGTCATATATTTGAATGTTGAGCAGCGAGCTCATTGGCTACTGATACAAAAATGAGTTGAAAAATCAGCTGGTTCATGTGATGATGTCATTAGGTCAGATTGAGTTTGACCTATCGGACTGCGCCATCTAGAGTTTCGTGAGAGAACTTTGGATTTAGGGAGGCACGAAGAAAAAGAAGCAACACACCTAACTTAACCACATTTTTGTGTATTAAATATAGTTTCCCAGTTTTTTCTAACAAGTGGTGTAGTGTGACAAAATGACTCTTTTTTTTATTTCACATTACATTGTGCATGCAGCTTTACTGCCATGTGAACTGAGGTAGTGATCAATATTCTGCTGAAATGTTTTCTCCCTCACGTTTCACTGCTAAGTCTGAATGATTGTAGAGAAACTCATTCAGATGATTCAAGTAAACTAATAGATTTAAAACATAAAAAAAACTTAAAGTTGGCCCCCTTAGTTACATCAGTACTTCACTCATTCAGAAAATAAAGTATACTTCACTTGTCCACATTATGCTCCGTCTCACAGACAGAGCATGTGACACAGTACAGTCCAATGACGTCCACAAACACATCGTTTGCTGATAGCCTGATTTTTCTGTAAACAACAGCACGTTTTTTTATCTGACACACCTATTTCCATTTCAGTCTCTACTAACAAGTTACGAGTTGAATTAGTTGTGTTTAATCTACAAAAGATAGCGGGACACAGAAAACGAAGCATCCCTTAAGTCTTAGATGCTTGTAACTATGTTTCAAAAGAGCAGCTGTCACTGGACTACTATATGATGAGTGGCTTGTAGCTTGGCGCAGTTTTGTAGCAGCATTTCCAACACTATTGCTGTGTCTCATTTCAATGTTTGCGCCATCCAGAGGTCACATTTGTCAGCCGCATATGTCAATGGCTCTGTTTATATCGACACCATTTGTTTCAGCTGGAATGAAATCATTCTGATTGATGAATCAAAACAAAGTATTTACATGAACGCTAAATGAAGTGATCAGGCTGATGTGCGAGTTTATCGGATATGATCAGATATCATTTTTGATCTTTTGACATGCACGAATATACAAAGTTTCCTGCTGTTTGCACATACCGTTCTCCTACCATTGCTTATTTTCTTTATAAAAAGCAGAGTTTATCTGTCCTTTCGTTTGGATTAGGAAAGATCTACATGACCCCTTCCAATCTGATCGAAATTTCATTTGGATCAAGCTCCATCAAATCAATTAAAGTGTTTACATTTAGGCTTTTCGGTCCAATTGAGCCATCAGTCTAATGGATTGCATGTAAATGTAGCCGTTAAGGATGTTTTATTTCAGAAAAGCAACCATTGCAAAGTAAGAAAGAAATTACAGTACGCCTCATAAGGTAGAACAGTCAATTTTATAATTTTACTTTTTTGAAATTACATGTTCCATGATGTATGCAGCCAAGAAATGTGATCTTCAGAGGGCGCAGCCTTCGAAAGAAGACATCAGTTGATGGTGATGCATGGGTCATGATAGACAGTGTTGGGGAGTAACTAGTTACATGTAATAGAATTACCTAATTTAATTACAAAATAAACGAGTAACACTTTATTTTAAGGTGTCCTTGTTACACGTTACATGTACTTACTATTATAATAACACTTAATTATGCATAATTACATGCAAGTAACCCTAAGCCAAACCCTAACCATATAGTAAGTACATGTAGTTAATTAATATTACTCAGTACTTAAATGTATAATTACACTGTAACAAGGACACCTTAAAATAAAGTGCAACCAACAAATGTAACTGTAATCTGTTACTGAGAGAAAATGTGTAATTAAATTACAGTTACTTATGAAAATGTTAAATATTACAAAGGGGATTACATCTGAATATTTTCACACACACATACAGATTTAATAGACTTCTTTCCCAAATTGCATTGACTGCTCTGAAATATGAGACACCAATGTTCCAGGAGTTTAGGACACAGAATAGGACACACGCTTATTCAATAACTGTTTTATTTCCAATTTGGTGAAAGATGCATCAAAGAAACAAATCACCACTAAACCTTTATTTTCTATAATTAAGTATTGCAAAAAGAAAAACTTCAGTGGATGTACTGTATGTATGCTTTATTTTTAAGATTAAATGTTTTTTTCCAAGCCATTGTTAGATGCCAGTGTTTCCTGATAATTTTTATAAACATGTATGCTCAGAGATCTCAAAGTAAAAAGAGATGCTAAAGTCTGATTTTGTGGTGGATGTGCTTTAAAATTAAATTAATATTAAAAGTGATGGAGGATTGTGAAAGTCTGACAGTAATCAGTGTTGAGCACTACTGTAAGGTTAACCCTGCCTGCTTTAAATATTAGAAAATGATTAACAGCTGAAACATTTGTTATAAATTTAGAAGAGTAATCAAAATGATGTAATCAGTTAATAAAGTAACTGAAATAGGTACACTACTTATTACATTTTAAACAGGGTAACTTGTAATCTGTAACCTATTACATTTCCAAAGTAACCTTCCCAACACTGATGACAGATACAGTAAAGTGAGTCTGTGTTTCTTCCACAAGGTATGTTTCTGCCATGACTACACCCAGCCGTCTGTCCCCCGTGGGGCTTCTCTCTCCGGCGACGCCCTCCTCGCCTCCCTCCGAGATGTCGGCTCCTCTGTCCAGCCTGGCGACCTCCGTTCCGTCCATGGCAGCGAGTCCCTCGGGGGAGGAGGAGCGCCCCCTGCTGTTCCGGACCCCGCCGATCCTGCGTGACAAATCCGGTCTGAACCAGACAGGCCATAATCTCCGCAACTCGGCTCACTACAATCACGGCCTGGAGCTGCTCAGTCCTCCAGCCAGCCCTCTGCACACCGTGGAGCAGGAGGAGAGTTCACAGCAGTACCAAAGCACAGCCGCAGCGTCCGGCCCGAACAGCTCCAGAACTCAGCCGAGCGGCCAGACGGCGCTGGAGCCGGTCAGCGGCAGTAACTCAGAGAGCAGCAGCTCGGAGAGCGAGACTGAGGAGGACACGCCATTTCTGGGCTTACAGAGCCCTCTGGCCGCTGGATCAGTTGTTCTGGACGGGCTGGAGGGCAGCAGAACTAACCCCGCGCTGCTCCTCTCGCCGCAACACGACCTGCAGAGCAGACTGACGTCCGTCATGGCCAACCAAGATCCTATAGCTGTGTGAAAGATGCATCGAAGAAAAAAATCACCACTAAACCTTTATTTTCTATAATTAAGTATTGCAAAAAGAAAAACGTCAACTTTTATTTTAGTGATGTAGTGAAACAAAGACTTTTATATGTGTGTGTACAACGTGTTTGTGTCATGGAAAAAAAGTGCCATTCACATGTAGCTGAGGTCACAGTATTTCAATGGCAGAAAAAATATATAATCTATGGTGCCTTTTAATTTAAATTTGAAGAAAAAAAGGACAGCATCATGACACTGGGCCATATATTCATGACTTTAAGGCAACAACTGAAAAAAAAAAAGAAAGTTCCACCAGCACTCCATGTCGGAATCCTTGCAATCGGATCAAAGTGTAAAAAGCATCGTGGTCTCGTGACCTGGTGGCTTTCCTGTCGACCCACTCTCTCTTATTTAACACACCTAAAATCTTGTGGCAGATAAGAGGCACAAAGAGGCTCGCAAAACGAGCAACGCTGTGGGTCACCAGGACCAACCGTACTGTGGCAAGAATGCTTTTTTTAATTACGTTAATTACTTATGCAATTTGATTTAAAATATGAAGTGTGGCTGCTGCAAACTGAAAACAAGACAATTCGAAAGCTATAGAAATTAAGAGTAAATGCTAAAAAAAAAAATACTCACAGGAAGCAAATCATGTACAATCAGCTATTAATCAAACACAATCACTATGGTTGTCATGTATAGCAGACATTATTTATATAGAACTGATTGTTTTTCTTTCATATTACTGCAGAATGACTGAATATATGGCTCACTTTGTCGATCGTGCTCATTGGCTTCTCAAGCAATGCATTGTGGGGAAATTACAGCACCACTTTTATGATTCTGATGATATCTTTTTATTTCTTATTAGTTATTGTCCAAATCATTTTTTCTTTAACATTTGTCCTTTGCTATCCGTGTCGAATGTTACATTATATTCAAGTGTTCCTTTGTGTCATGTTATTTTTCATCATGTTTATGTGTATATGTGTGATCATTTAAAGAACAAATCACCTGTTGTACAGTATTTTGCTATGTTTGCATCACCAGATTACTACAGTAACTTATGTATTCACAAGGTTTTACTGAAAATAGCCGCTAATAGTCTATCCAGCTTGCTAAACAGAAGAACTGGTTACACAAACAACACTTTTAACCTAGAGCTCACTATAAAGCTCACGGCTCTAGTGCGTGAAGGCCTTTTCCCCTAAGTTTTCATTTTAATGAAATGTGGCCCATTTTATTGTATTTATTTTCTTTATTTATTTCTTATTTATTTATTTATTACCTGGGCCTTATGGAATCTAGCATCTATAAATCTATATTTTAATAGCAATGATAATAAGAGATATTTGCAGTCTTTGTACATTACAGTACATCAACAACCTTATTTTAGTGGGGTTTTTTTCTTTTCTCATCACTCCATAATATATGTGTGTTGTTTTGCCATTTAGGCCTAGACTCTGTTATTCAAACTCTCATTCAAAAACAATAAATGTTCACCATGACAAATATCCATGAACCTGGTTATACAATTAAAATGAGCCGAACTGTGTCTGGGACACTTGAAAACACTTGCTTTTAACTCAAGCCTTTATGTAACGATTCAGGCCACCTTGAGTTGTTTGATTTTGGATATGATACAACGTGCTGACATCACCTCTTCCATCATCAAACTTGGTTTTGTTTTCAGAAAAGGCTGATCATTTACTGTTTGGATGAAGTGGTTTATTACATTTTGCAGAAATATTCAAACCAAGGTATGTGCGTGAGGTCTAAATGCATCAGCGTTCCAGCATAGCAGATTTTGGCTTATTGTTTGATCTCCACATTGCCAGTGAAGATAAAGGAAGAACAGAAAATCTCCAAAAGAAAAAAAAATCATGTCATTCTGATAGCTGCATGAGCACAGGAGGACAAACACATGCAGGCATGCCTTGCACAACACATGCAAACAAGCATGAGCAGAGATGTCAGTCAAGACATGACCACTCTCTAACTGAGAGCAAAATGTTCATTTTCATCTGCTCTTGTGTGAACAACTCTATAAAATGTCTGGGCAAAATGTATGATAGCTTTATACTGTGTTGGATCTCTTTATTTTTGCAATGTCTTATTCTCTAAGCTGTTTAAATAAGCTAAAGGTGTTAGCAGGTGTTGATGGCACACTCACCGACATTTGATTCCCTCTTAAGTGTTTGCATTTGTGTGGATGTATCCGGTAGCTTCTTTCATCTGTGCTTTCTGGCTGCCAATAGACCAGTATGGCATATCGATTGGAGCAGGTATCAGTATTGCTGGTGACAATTTTGAGGATTTTCTTTCAAACTTGGTAGCACATCAAAAGTTATAATTTTGATGGTTTAATATTTCGAATTCTCAGCAAATTTGAGTTAAATAATGCTGGCCAAAAGTTATTCTGTTATAGCAAACTCTTATATTAAATTTCACGGTAAGGATACCTAACAGGAAGACTTAACTTCACAATGCTTTGCAATGTTGACATTAAGCTTGGTATGTATTGTCTCAGTACCCTGGATTTGGCGACAGCACCACCTATTGGTAAACAGTCTTTAAATTGGACACAAATCATTATAATCTTGAAAAAAAAATTGGCTTAGACTCCTGATAATTTTCTCCATATATTCCATATATTAATACTGTACTACTGCATTTAAAATGTCATTTTCAGTTCAGTTTTCACAATACTGATGAAATGCATTTTTAAACAACTATTTGGCTATCAAAAATTACAGCCAAACAAGAGGCGAGGCTGGACTTCTGCAACACTTTTGCATACTGACATGAAGGGCTGTATTTGTCCACTACACCAGTGTGCTCTGCCTTGCATGGATTCCTACACCAGAGTGTTTGGACTCGTAACTGCTGCCAGAAACCAATTTTTCATTACACTCTCGCTTGACTTGGATCAGTTTAGACTGTTTAGCGGTAAGTTATATTTCAGCAATGTACTTTCTTTTAATCCCTGTGATGGACTGGCCATCTGTCCATATAGTGTTTCCCTGCCTACAGCCTGAGACGCTGGGATAGACTCCAGCATCTCTGTGACAGGTTTGGAGGATAGATGGATGGATGGACTTAATAAGATACCAACCCACTGAAAACCATTAGTGCTCTTAATGTAACCCCTCTCTCCCGGGTCCTCACCGCCACACCTCATTCTTGTTCCGAGTGGGTCTCGAACCCGGGTCTCCAGCATGGGAGGCGGACGCACTAACAAGGAGGCTAAAGGCAGGTAAAGTGAGGTTTACCTGCACAGCACGTACCCGCTGGCCTCCGTTACACTCACCCCCCTAATCCTCACTCCCATCCGGGTCACGGCACCAATTGTAACCGGTGCCGTGTGGGATTCAAACCGAGGTCTCCGGCGTAGGAGGCAGGCGCTCTAACAAGGAGGCTAAAGGCAGGTAAAGTGAGGTTTACCTGCACAGCACCTACCCGCTGGCCTCCGTTACATTTATACATTCCTTAATAATTTTGTTCATAATATCCACTATAATCTTTTTGTTTTTTGCTCACAATGAAGATTAAAATGTCAGTTACCAAGCAAAGTTGCATTAGTTGTACAGTACAGAAAACTTCCAGTTTGTGGATAGTCTGTTTTTCAGAAGTCATGATGCATTTCTTATTAACAAAATTAATGGTTTGCACATTCACTGACTGAACTGTTGACCCACACCCCAACAAAAGTCTGGTACGTGTGGCATTTATGAGAACAATTCCATTCCTGCATTTTGTCAGAAACAGGAAGAACCCAAAAATTCACTGAGACAGAAGCATTTGTGCACAATTGATCGTGGGCCAAGATAAATAGTTTACACAAAGACATTCATTCAAAAAAAGCCTATCTCGAAAAAATGGCAAGTACCGTCTTGTGGGTTGTGAAATACATAAAACATCTATGAAGCTATGCTATCTACTGCTTTAACCCTGCTCACTAAAAAAGGGAAAACCCTTTCAAAAAAGCTAAAGAAAAAGTCCCACCATTGATTTCATAATGTCAGCATGTTGTTCAGTAAGTGGATATGACATGACATGTCCTTAGTTGTTTGCTGGTTTAATTGGTTGTTTCTCTCATGACCTAAGGTTTTGAAGTCAATCCTGCGACTGTTGAAGATACTCCCAGAAGATGATGAAGAGAACAGTTTGCACCCTGTGACAGCAACACTGGCATGAGATCACATTTGTGCTATCTGGCCAGCCGAGGGAATTGATTTGGAAACCTGTTTAAAAGCATTCATTATTATATAAGAGGTGCAGAAATTACACACTTCACTCTTAACTACCAAATGGCATCATCCAGGTGACAATTTTGGCAGCTAAACAACAGCATGAACCCATGGATATATTAGCATGTTGATGGTTTGTCTCACACTATTGCATTCTTTCCTTTTTTGTAAAATAAAAATAAAAAAGATTGTTAAAAATATGAAAATGAACTCTTAAGTCGACATCATCAACTGCCAAGCCCCTTACTGAGCTACCCAGACAGCAACATAGTGTTGGCCCAGATCCGGCCCACATCTGGCCCATGTGAAATCCATGCGGGCCAGATGTGG